CGACCCCCACCCCCAGTCTATATTGTTAAAGGTATACTATGCCAACGGACTCCTAGCATGAAAGAAAAAAAAAAGAGTGATTGATTTTAAGGAACCTCATTTAAAATAACAACCAGGGTCAGCTACTTTTCTGTTTTTCCCATTCCTGCCCAGTTCCTAGGGTTGAAAAAAAGATGATGTAGATGGTGGAAGCAACAAGGAGGCACTTTGAGCTCAATATAAAGGAACTTTCTAATAGTGTCATGGACTCTCCAGTGAATTTGTGAGCTCTCTGGAATAAGTTCTTACAGAGGCTGAAAATAATTGTCAAGGATTCTATGGGAAGAATGTCCTTTTGGACATTAAGTTTGAACTTTAAGAATATCCTCCATCTTTAAAATACATTATTTGCCAACTAACCATACCTCTCCTGCTCAGCCAGAGACGGTAGGAGCAATCCTCCTACAACAGATGGTAGGAGAATTGCTCGTGATAAATGAAGCAGGTACCCACATCCAAAGCAATTTGGGAAGCACTCTGATCTTTGCTTTGGAGTTCACTGAATCTCCACTGTTTTCCCAGTCCTTTGGGGTCAGGACCCTGGGTGGCTCCCTCTCATTCCACCCTCGGAACTCTTGCTGACACTGTCTTACTCATCCAGTTAACGTCCCTGTGGTAAACAGGTGCAGTTATCACGAGGCTATAATTGTAGGAGAAATGGGAACACTGAGGCCAGGAAAACTTCCAATTTCTCAGTGGAATTGACTGTCACTCTCTCATCGCACTGTTTCCATCATTTATTTCCTTTTTGAGAAATAAAGGGAGAGAAGAAATATAGCTTTCTGTTTTACTCCAGTGGTAGATTTGGGGGTGTAATATTGGTCTCTCTCCTGGGTCTTGTCTTTTCCTATTTTTTTTCCACCCTCCTTGCTGCCCTTATTGTGAAAGGAAGGGCTCTTTCCCTTCCTCTCCTTTCTTCCGCCCTCCCCCATTTACCATTTTTTTTTTCCTTTTACCTCTTTCCACTGTGGCCTTTTGACCTCTCCACAGAGTTACAAAAGTAAAATCCTTGACGAGATGCTGCTGTGGGAATGTTAATGAGCCTTTGCCACAAAGAGGCAAAGACTTTACTTCACTGAGTTGGAAAAAAGCCCCTTTGAAAAGGGGTTTCTGTGTGTGGTGAAGTGGAGAGGGGAGGGGAAGGAGAGAGATGGAGGGTGAGGGAGAAAAGAAGGGAGGGAGAGAAAGAGGAGGAGAGAATGAAAGAAGGAGAGGGAAGGAGGGAGAGAGAGAGACTTAATAGCAGAAGAGAGTATTAAAGCAACACTTTACATGTTTCAGTTGGTGATTTGGTGATTTAATTTTTGGAAAATGTTCCATGGTCTTTTGACCTTGTAAGTGAAGCAGTTTCATTCCCAAGAAGGTGAAGAGGCGCTCAAGGGCATTGAAGATAACAAAGCAAAGGAAAAAGGGACCTATCCTGGCACCCTACCCCCAGTTCCTTCCCACCTGTGGGAACCTGAGAGGCTCTGGGGGAAATATTCTGGATGGGGGGAGCTGGTGGTAAAGGTGAGCTCACTCTTCTGGCTTTGTGGTTCCTTCTTATATTTTCTAATTTTGGCAACAATTTCTTTGTTGGCTTCCTTATTGGCTATTGGCCTAATAATTTTCTCTCTCTTCAGGAATGGTTTAAAGTATTGTTGCGATGTTTACATCTTAGAAGGTATTTTCAAGCCAGATCACCTAAACATAATCGCTGTATCTTTCATTTGCGAGCACAAGTTGCCTAGTTAAAATGGATGTTAAGGCATTTTCAGTGTCAACATTAAGTCTTTAAAAAGCAAAGGTATGTTGTTGCTCTTTAAAAGAAAGCCAGTCATTATGTTTGACTTTCAGAGATTTTTCCAACACATTGTTTTGTGATGTCAGCACAACACTCCAGTTGTGAAGAACAAAGAGAAGGTGATTGGAATGAGATCCTTGGAAGAGAGAGATGAGAGCAGGTCAGGAATGCTAATTCTCAGTTCTATACACTCCTGTGGGTTCATGGCAATCACCTGGGGAATTCATCCAGAATTCACATTCCTGGCCTCTAACCCAGATCTATTTAATCAGAATCTCTGTGGGTGGAGGACTACGATTTTTAAACACGATCTTAAATGATTCTTTTGCAGAGTTAAGTTTGAGACAGTTGCACTTGACTGGTGGTTTCCAAACCATGGGCTCTAGACTCCTAGGGGACTGCAGTGTTGTTGCAAGGAAATCCATGTAGACAAGAAGGGGACCTGGCGTACAGCCCAAATGTATAACATACCTCTCAAAAGTATGTACTACTGTTGGCCAAACGTTTATTGATGCTATTCAAATAAATACACTTTTAACTCATTTAAAGAGTTTCTAAACTCATAATGGCTTTGCCCTAAAAAGACAGCTATAGTTGTGTGTGTGTTGTGGGGGGGTATCCAGGAAATTTTTTGGCATTTCATTCAGGCCTCTTCTCTCAGGACAATACTCTGCTGTTAGCATTCCTCTCTTTTTAGTTTGTAGAAGAGTAGGCATTATGGAGGTATTTCCTCTGCCTCCCAAAGAGTTAGAATCCTATGAGAGATTTGGTTTTGATTGCAAATGAACTAAACGAGGAATCTAGCATGTAACCTTGATATAACAGTAATCACAGCCCTTTAAATACATGATCTCATTTAATCTTTAGCTTTGCAAAGGAAGCATTATATAATCCCCATCTTAGACATGCAGAACACCCCATTTTACAAATGAGGAAACTGAGACTTAGAGAAGCAAAGTAGCTTTCTTGCTCAAGGTCTCATAGCTGATAAATGGCTGGTCGAAATTTGCCCAAGCGATGACTGTTCGGACAGCCTGTTTGTTTGTTTGTTTGTTTGTTTGTTTGTTTGTTTTCCCCACCACAATGTGGCACTTTATAGCCCTTCTGCTGGTTTCTACTTCTGTTATAAGCCTCACTTTCTGGCTGCGGACCTGGAGGGTGACAAACTTTCAACTTCCAAAGAAAATTTGAAGACCTTCAATTAATATCTACAACAAATTATGCTTCTTCTAATTCCATATACTACCACATGTTTTTAGTCTTACTAGCATTAAGGGAGTAAGGCAATAAAGAGTAAGGAAAAAGTGCCCTTTGCAAAACTTCACTAAATGAGAAAGCACTGACAAACAATCCCTGGTCTTATTAGATGATTCTCCGCCTACCCTCTTTCAGGTGGCAGTTGCCATGGCGTTTTAGGGGCAGAGGGAGGGAGTGAAGATCAAGGAGGGTTATTCAGACTCAGTCTTGTCTGGTGTTTCTTTTCAGAGTTTATTCTGCAAAGGACGGTAGGAATTTAAACATGCATAAGAGGGCAAACAGAGCTTATTCTTTTTGCTTACCTTAATTTCTCCATGT